TTGACCAAATGCTCATGCTGCTTGAGTTGCCTGGGCTATGTGCCTGACTCCATGCTGAGATACACAGAAATCTCAGGCCAAAAGCTGGGTCTCCCCTCCCCCCACATGGTTCTGTGCACCTGTGCATTACTCATTCTGCATGCCATTCTCTCCATAATTAAGAACAGAAATGTTTGTTCTCGTCAATGTCATTGTGTCCTTGGCATCCTGCACAAGGTCTGGCAGTTACATTGGGTTCAACAAAGGTTTGTTGAACTGAACAAAGTAACAACCAAGAGTTCTAAAAACTGGAGTTGAAGATTATACTACAAGCCTGTTTCCTGGTACCTGATGTCTTTGACAGTCTTAAAGCTTGCATTTCTGTAGCCCTGAATTTAAATCAAGTTCTTTTTGAAACCATGTTAGGTCATCATGCCTGCTGTGAATGGATTCACCAGCTTTCTGTACCATTCATTGCTAGTTACTGAATTTTGAATATTCTTCCCCCACCCACTCTACGGATAATTGTTATTGTCCAGCTCCAGAGTTCCTTGCCTCTAATGAAACAATTGCTGCTGCTTTATGCAGTAGTTTGTTGTTTATGTATGTGTTAAAAATCTTCTGTGTGACTTTCAATTCCTTACATCATCTTGCACAATGAATGTTGATTGAATTTAATAAAACACAAGCTAAGAAAAGCATAGTATTATATATTTACACAGTAAGTGTATAGGTTTTTTTTTTTTTTTTTTTTAAACCATTTAAGCCTAAAAACAACTTGATAAAGTAGCTAATTGGGTAGATTCCTCAATTTCAATGAAACTGAGGAAAATTGGGATTTAAGAAGCTTGTCTTATGTGAGAATTAAACCCTGGTCTTTCTGCTCCTGATGCCCTTAAAACAGCTAAGTAACAAAACAGGTTCAAAGTGGAATGTTTGAAAGAAAAGACTTGAATTTCAAATTGGCAAGACAGAATTGTTAACTAACGCCGGCCTTGTGATTTGAAATGGCCAAGTGAGAAGATGATGGCTACCCTTATTTAAGAATTCTATCAGCAACTCAGTTTTGGTTCTTGGTAGTGATATACATTAAGGTTTTAGCAGGAAAATTTAGTCATAGAGCAATTTGTTCTTTTGGCCACTTGCTCCTTTTTAAAGACAATGACTGGACCAGACTAGAAATTCTTGAAATAAAGCCAATGCTAGAGAAACGGAGATCGACTTTCAGAAACAAAAGGCTGGTCCTTTGATTTACAGCTATCTGAGGCCATCCCGAAAGTTCGCACACCCAACTTTCCAAGATTTCCTAGAAATTGGGGAAACAGAACAGGTAATCTGGGGAGACACAGAGGAATAGGGTTGGGGGGAGTAGACAGCTATGACAAACCAGCCACCCTTCCCTTGTTCTTTTTATTTTCTTATTTTTTAATAACCATAATTAGGTTATCGTGAAGATACTACATTTTCAAGAGGAGGATATTCTTGCCAAGCTACAACATGGAAAGATACTTTAGAAAGAAAGAATGTGAAGAGCAAAAAAACTCACTTGCTCATCTACGAAACTGTGTAACTCATTTGCTCATTTGGCATCTGTGGTGAATGATTACACTGTGTTAACCTCTTTGTTCACATGGTATTTTTCTTCTACTGGGGCAGTGTTTTAAGTTGTTAAGATGTTACTCATCAAGGCACAGTGCTAGGCACTTTATATGCATTACATCTTCCAGTCCTTAAACAACCCTTGAAATTAGCACCTGTCGTCCCTTTTGGTAGGCCAAAAGTGTTGATCAGACAGTTTTAAGTAATTTGCCCCAAGGTCATGCTAGAAAGTGATGGAGTCCAGGTGCAAACCCAAGCCTCCCTAGCGCCTTCCTGGCCCGTTTCCTCTCTGGGTGGATGCCGTTGGGAAGAAGTAGTTTTGGTTGGAGAGACCAGTATGCCTTCCCTCATTTCACCTGAGCCAGAGGAATGTGCCATCAGTACCTAGCTTCTGTGTGAAAATAACACCTGGAAAGAAGATGAGTTTGCCAGCAGCAGTTTAAGGAACAAGAGATCTTACTTTCAAAGGAAAGTGTAATTAGAAAAAGAAGGAGAACAGAGTTCTCGTCCCTGTTGTTCCATCTCTTGCCTGCCCTTTCCTGGGCTGGTCAGCTTGCTTCTGGGCCTCAGTTTGTTTATTTGTAAAACTGTGAGACTTCTATTATATCCTAAGGACCTTTGACCTCCTCAGTTCTGCAGTTACTAAGGTTTCCACAAGATAATAATCTCTTTAAATCTTGTAAAATTTATACAGTGCCTGAAATGCCTCCTTGTGTTTATTTATTTATATGTCTGTATCCCCACGCAGTTGCTTGTGGATAGACAATGCATCTGTTGGCTTTTGCATAGCACAGTGTCTAGAAATAGTGTCTTTGCAAATATAAATGTATATGGAATAAAAATGTGCTCTCAAGAGATTTATATGCCGTTGCTGTTTGGTAGCTTGTTAGTAACCCCAGTTTTACTATCTTATCTTTCTTTGGTTATTGGCATAATTTTTCAATTCTTTTTTTGTTAAGGTGAAATGCATAGAACATAAAATTAACTCATTTAGTAAATACACCTATTCACAATGTTATGCAACCACTACCTCTGTTTCCAAAATGTTTTTCATCACCCCAAAAAGCTGTACCTATTGAGCGGATGCTCCTCAGTCCTGCAAACCTTCCACCCACCCTCCTGCCTCAGCCTTTGGCAACCACCAATCTGAGTTCTGTTTCTGTAGATTCATTTATTGTGAATATTTCATATAAGTGGAGTGACACAATATAGGTGATCTTTTGGGTCTAATCCTAATGCTTTCAAGCTTTGTCAGCATTGTAGCTTGTATTAGTGCTTCATTCCTTTTTATGGTTGAGTACTATTCTCTTGTTTGTACATACCACATTTTATCCATCCATCTTCTGATGGACATTTCAGCTGTTTCTATCTTTTGAGTATTGTGAACATGAACACATGTACAGGCTGCTATGAACATACCTGTAGATGTGTTTGTTTATGTGTTTTCAATTCTCTTGGATATATTACTTTCAATGGCAAAAAGCAATTACTTTTGTACCAACCTAATACAACTAAAAGTGGAATTAGTGGGTCATAAGGGAATTTTACATTTAACTTTTTTAAGGAAGTGCTACACTTTTCCACAGTTTCTGTTTTACTTGCCTACCAGCAGTGTAAAAGTTTCCAATTTCTCCACAAACTTGCCAACATTTGTTATTTTCTCTGTGTGTGTGTTTCTTTGTCTTTTAATAGCCATCCTAGTGTGTGTGAAGTGGTATCTCATCATGGTTTTGATTTGTATTTTCCTCATGATTAATGATGTTGAGCATCTTTTTATGTGTATGCATGTGTTTGTGTGTTGACTACATATTATCTTTGGAGAAATGTCTATTCATTTAGCCATTTTTAAGTTGGGTTGTTTGTCTTTTTGTTGAGTTGTGAGAGTTCTTCATCTATTCTGGATACAAGTCCTTTATCAAATATGATTTGGAAATATTTTTCCCATTCTATAGGATGTGTTTTCATTTTCTTAGTAATGTCTTTTGATACACAAAAGTTTTTATTTTAACGAAGTTCTTTTTATCTATATTTTGTTGCTTGTACTTTTGGTGTCTACGGATCTGTTGCCAAATGCAGTGTCATGAAGATTTACTTCTGTTTTCTTCTAAGAGTTTTATTATTTTTTTAAGCTTCTATAAGTAGGTCTATGATCCATTTTGAGTTGATTTTGGTATATGATATGAGATGGGGTCCAAGTTCATTCTTTCTGCCTATTTGGGGTCCCTGGAATTTTGATAATATTACATTGACTCTAGATCACTTTGAGTATTATTGCTAGCTTAATAATAAATCTTCCATGGATGGGTGTGGTGGCTCATGCCTGTACTCCCAGTACTTTGGAGGCCGAGGAGTATCACTTGAGCCCCAGGAGTTCGAGATCAGCCTGGGCAATATAGTGAGACTCTGGCTCTATTAAAATCAATCAATCAATCAGTCTTCTGTTTCATGCTACTATTTAGCAATGTTTTGTAGTTTCAGTATACAAACCATTTACTCCATTGATTAAATTTATTTCTAGGTATTTTATTCTTTTGGATGCTGTTGTGATTGGAATTGTTTTCTTAATTTTCTGATTATTCATTTCTGGTGTGTAGAAACACAATTGGCTTTTGTGTGCAGATATGATACCTTGCAGCTTTACTGAATCAGTGTGCTAGCTCTAGTAATTTTTTTGTGGGATCTTTGAGATTTTCTGTATGTTGGGATATGTCATATGTGAGTAGATAAATTTTATTTCCAATTTGGGTGCCTTTCTTTTTCTTGCCTAATTGTTCTGGCTAGAACTTCCAGTACAATGTTGAATCTCAGTGGTGAAGGTCGGCATCCTTGTCTAGTTCCTGATGTTGGGGGAAAGTCTGGTTCATATAGTCTTCTGTCTCATGAAGTCAGAGCTTATCAAAGCATGGTCCCTAGACAGCAGCATCCACACCACCTGAGAACTTGTTTAGAAATACTCATTCTTGGGGATTCCCTCTAAACTTTCCAGTTCTGACACTGTGCGGAGTGGGGCCTAGCAATTTGTATTTTAAGAAACGCTTTAGGTGATGTGGATGCACATTGAAGTTGAAGAACCACTGTAGCAGAGTTCGAATTTCTTTGAAGTTAGTGTCTGTGCTTTATTTTCTTTGTATTCCTTTTAGTTCCCTTGTGGGATTAATCAGTGTTGAATAATTAAAAAAAAAAAAAAAAAAAAAGAAATTCAGAGCTAACCAAAGTGCCTACATTATCTCTTAGCTTGTGTAAGAGTCTTGAGTCACTATGAATGGTTAGAGATTCATCATTAGACATTTATGAGATTCATCAGAAGATCTCACATTTTGTATGCAGTATTAGACCCATTGCAAACAGCTTAAGTGTACTTGTATTTAGACCATTTGTTCTGATAATTACTTTCACCATTATTATCTGTTTACCTACTAGCTGTGGCCTTATAGCTACTTCTGCCAGCAAGAATTTCTGTTCCTCAGCGATTTAAAAAGACGGAAGGGTCACTTTTATAGGATATATTGGATTTTATCACATCGTTATTTCATCTTTGCCTTATTTTCTCATTAGTTTTATCTTGCTGTGTTGTGATATCAACTCCTTTGCATCCTTTTTGAGCAAGACAATATTTAAATCAATTAGGAAAAAATGTAATCTATTGCAACTAAGGGCTATTGTTGAAAAATAGCCATTTAGTCATACAAGTACCAGTTTATAGACAAGTCCAAAAGTTATATGAATTCATTACCTGTTTACATGTATTACATGAATACTCAGATGATAAAAATACCATTTAAACGTGCCTGAAATTATAATATAATTGATTAGTTTATGGCTGATCTTTTTCTAAGACTTGTTTTAAATGATGATTTATACCCTGGATTCCCAGTTGCCACCACTTTGAGATTTCCAAACTTTATTTGTAATTCATCTAATTATTCTAGTTCTGTCTGCTCCCAGAATGGGTGAATGTTGTGAAGATAGCGTCTGAGATGTGTGAGCTCTAGGTCAGTGGTTCCAACCGTTTTGGCACCAGGGACTGGTTTTGTGGAAGACAATTTTTCCACGGACTGGGGGTGAGGGAGACTGTTTCAGAATGAAACTGTTTCCCCTCAGATCATCAGGCATTAGTTAGATTCTCATAAGGAATGCCTACATCCCTCTTCACGATAGGGTTCGCTGCTGATTAGGAATCTAATGCGGCTGCTGATCTGACAGGAGGCGGAGCTCAGGCAGTAATGCTGGCTTGCCCACTGTTCATCTCCTGCTGTGCAGCCCGGTTCCTAACAGGCCACAGACCACTATTAGTGGTTGGGCACCCCTGCTCTTGGGGATCCCTGGTAGCAGGGAAGAAATAGAGGATGAGGCAGAATGATCTTGCAGCCTTGGTGCGGGCTCAGGAGCTCTCCAAGAGCTTGTGTGGTCCTAAGAATACAATGTTGCTGGTGTTTCCTTTTGTCTCTTTGATGTATGAATACTGTCATAGAATCATTGCATTAATTACCATTGATTGAATAATAAAGGCTCTCCAACGTTTCTGGTTCAAGGTTTAAGTAAATGAAAAATAAACTCATTAACAAATGCTAGCAGACTTTTAAGACTTTTAGGAACTTTAGGAAGAGAAATTAGTGTTTTAATTAGGGAAAGATTACAATAATATTGGACATTCTCAAACACAGTTGAGCAGAGATAGTAAACTCACAGATTGGGAAATAAATGTTTAGGAAGACAATAACTTCTTTTCGTACCACTATGGTGAATGAGATTTTATTTTGCTAGCTTTTAAACTCCAAATTGCTTATAGTTGTAATGGTTTATTTCAGAAAGGAGAGGAACTTGGGGTTCTAAGGCAAGGTAGAGTTTTGGAAACTATTAGTGCATATTTATAAATGTCCTTTGAAATAGTTTTGATGACAGTGACAAAAGGGGGAACAAACATGTTAAAGTCATTTGGCTACTCTTGAAATCAAGACTGTGAAAAAAGCCTTTTCTAGCTGTAAATCACATACTTGTCCTACATTCTTTAAAGCATTTTACACAAATGACTTTAACAGTTTTAGGGGTCATGCCTAGGGTTAAGAGACTATTTGCATGGTAAACATTTTGGTGATTAAAAAGCAATACTTTATTGAGGTGGTAGCACCTCTGTTCACACTCTGTACTGTGAAACATTTTATTTTTACCTAATGAGGAAGGATTGTTCCCTAAGTCAATGTTGTACCAAGTGTATACTTGTTGATTTTATGTTGCATGGGTATGGACTATTAAAAAGCTTTAGTACTTGTAATAGTAACAAAAGAATTTTTAAAAAGCAACCAAAACTATCAATAAAATTATAAAAAGCATTGTAAAGAATAATGATAACTAGTAACATTTTGATGAGTGATTATTGTGCCATGCACTGCTCTAAGCGCTTTTGCACGTAATGAATTTAATCTTTAAACCTGACCGTATGAAGTAAGAACTGTTATTCTCACTTATGACTATTAGGAAGTAAGGCTCAGAAAGGCTAAGTGAATTGTTCAGGGTCATACCACCAGTGTGAATAGTGAGCTGGGGAATAAAACCAGGCAGACCACGCTCTTAACATCTGCTGCATCGAGCTGTGTACATCAGCCCTTGAATTTCACAGACAGTGCTCAGGATGGCGCAGACATCCCATTGTTTATGATTTATTTTTAATGAATCAATTAAAATACAAATATTGAGTAAATACACAACTCTCTGTATGGCTATGTCAAAAATGCTGAAGCTGACGGGAAAAATGGTTTTGGAAACCAATGCCTTCAGCGATTGGTGGATGTATTCGTTTAAATTATACTTAAGAATTAAATTGGGTCATGCAGTGATCCATTTTTATGCCATTCTCTTCTTTTGCTGTGTTTATTTTTTACAGTTATAGAGATGATCAGATAGTTTAGTGATTTGGTGTATTATCTGTGAATTTGGATTGAATGCTTGGCACTTGGAATGTTAGATAAATATACAAATGTTCTTCCCTGCTCCTGTTTTCTTTCCTATTTCACAGACTTGTTCTTATGCTCACCAGTGTCCCTGTCCCTTTTTTCCCTACTGAGTCCTCTCCTGTGAAGTGGTCATAACACTGGTTGTACTGTGAAGTGAAAGATCCATTGTATGCACATTTAAATGCAGCACTGGATGGCAGGATCTGCCTTTTGCCAAATAAAGTGTTGTATTTCTCTTGGTTTTTGTTCCAGCTGAGCAATTTTCATTGCTGACAGCACAACATACATTAGGATAAAGCAAATAAACAATGCAAGGCACTTGGAGCCAGGAAGTCCCATCTTGGACTAGAAACACAAAGTTTTTCTATTGACATTTGGGAGGAGGGCTGCTAAATAGGCGAGCCAGCCACCAAATAGAAAACCAGTGGCCATGAGGTTCTTGCACTTCTAGGGAAACCATTTGTTTAATCGTTAGATCTTTGAAAGGTGTCCGAAGTTGATTTTGATGTAACAGCGGCCAGTTTCTTTGTAATTAAATATTAACTCAAAACTATATCTTGGGTAATTGTTAACCTTGCCATTTGTTGTTTGCCTTAGACATGTAATTAACATTCATTGAATTTAGCTTTTTGTTGTTGTTCACGTCTTTTATTAACTCATACACAATTGCTTGTCTTCTGTTTTTAAAAACGTTTTTGGGAAGACAGAGTCTTGCTCTGTGCGCAGGCTGGGGTGTGGTGGCTTGATCATGACTTACGGTAGCCTCGACCTCCTGGGCTCAAGCCATCCTCCCACCTGAGCCTTCCAAGTAGCTCGGACCACAGACACGCTCCACCATGCCTAGCAACTTTTTAATTTTTTGTAGAGATGGGATCTTGCTATGTTGCCCAGGCTGGTCTCAAACTCCTGGACTCAAGTGAGCCACTGCACCGAGCCTTGTCTTCTGGTTTGTTGAAGCAGTAAGTCAGACAATATTTGCTACAATAATGTCTGTCAAATGTTTGTGACTGGCCATAAGAACTCCAGCACCACATTCATCTGAAGGACACTGCTAGTGAAGGCCACTCATTTTGCTGTTGTCATCTACCTTATCGTATCTCAGGACATCCAGCTTAATCTTTTTCTATTACGTTTGTTCTTCTTGGGAGTGGTATGACTACTTCTATGAAGTCCCAACACAAGATGAAGAGCGGACTCCTTTTGAATGTGTAGTTAAGACAGAGTATGTTCATCTTTCAGTGACTACTTCTATGAAGTCCCAACACAAGATGAAGAGCGGACTCCTTTTGAATGTGTAGTTAAGACAGAGTATGTTCATCTTTCAGTTGCTTGCCAGCAAAGATCAGTCTCTGCTGATCAGGAGAAATTCCTTCTTTATTCTGGATCTTGGCCTTTGGATTTTCTATTGTGTCCAAGGGTTCAGCCTTGAGAGTGGTGCTTTTTCTGTAAGGACTTTTACGAAAATCTGCATTTTGGTCGTGGTTCCATCCCAGATGGTGGATCAGAAAGCTGAATTTCCTATTTTGAAACAAATTTCTTGTTAATTTAATGCTTTACTTTGAAAAATCCAAGTAAATTTGGCATTCATATTTTTAATAGTTCCTTATTTTAAAATATGATCTAGGCCTGATGCGGTGGCTCACACCTGTAATCCTAGCACTTTGGGAAGCCGAGGTGGGTGAATTACGAGGTCAGGAGTCTGAGACCAGGCTGGCCAACGTGGTGAAACCCCGTCTCTACTGAAAATACAAAAATTATCTGGGTGTGGCGGCAGGCATCTGTAATCTCAGCTACTCAGGAGACTGAGGCAGGAGAATCGCTTGAACCTGGGAGGCAGAGGTTGTAGTGAGCCGAGATTGCGCCATTGCACTCTAGCCTTGGCAACAAGAGCAAGACTCCATCCAAAAAAAAGATCTATTTTTTCCCCCTGCCTTATTCAGTTGGTTTGGAATAATTTAAGGATCTCTTCTATTTCAAATTATGGCATGTTACAGTAATTTATTAAAAATGATAATCTAACTGAAAATCATAAACCCAAAGTCTGTAGGAGCTTTTTAAACCAGAATAGAAAATAATTTTATAATTGATTTGTTTAAATATTGATTAATTATACATTCTTTTAATGGCCAAATAAAAAGAAAGAAACTTTTTGCCCCACTCTGTTAGACTGCTATTAACTGAGCAATCTTGGTTTATGGAACTTGAGGTTTTGGGAATCATTAAATATTTATAAAGATACTTATAGTTTTGGGTTTTTTTGTTTGTTTTCTTTGAGTTGTATAGTTGGAGAATTCCTTTTCATTTGTGGTTTCAGGTTTAGCTTTAAGGCAATATATACCAACTTTTGAAGAAAGATTGTCAAAGTGATTAATTATCTTCAGTATGGATAGTACATTGAAAACACTAATTATTTTGAATAATGCATGTTTCTTCAGCTATTAACATCTGACTCATCTCTTTTAGGACCTGCTGAGGTTCCCATGATGTCACCCAATGGATCCATTCCTCCCATTCACGTGCCTCCGGGTTATATCTCACAGGTAATCCATTTGATGGACTTCTCTACTCACTATGGACACTACGTTACTCCAACAGAGTATACGTTGAGGCTTCAAAGCCATATTCCAGGAGTTAATTTAGGTATCATAGTGCTAGATTTGCCGTCATTTTGTGGCACCACATGGTATTTCTTGTGTTTTGCCACTTGACGTACTGGAGAGCCAGAGAAAAGGAAACGTAGAAGGCCTACTAGACTGTCCTCTGGCAAGTGGCGTTTTTATGTTTGATTGATTGGTTGTGATTTCTTTATGGAGTCTCCTGCTTTAGAAATTTCCTTCCACCTGTAATACAACTTTCTGGAAGAAAATTCATAGATTTAGTTAGTTAACATATTAAAGGAGACATAGCTCACATAAACAGGGCCTGCGTTCTGTTATAGATGGAAAAAAATGGAGTTCCATTGCTCCACGATGTGGCACCACCTGGGCTTGGTGAATTACTGAGTATGATGTGAGAACTTGGCTGTTTGCATTTAAATTTCTCTGAGGTTTGGTTTTCTAAGTAAAATGATGGTAATAGGAATCTCAGAGATCTATTGGAAGCGTAAAAAAGCTTAAAGGATGAAGTTATGTTCCTGTGCCTGAATGAGGTATAAAATGTTTTGCATGGCTGGAACATTGTGGACATCTGTATATACTTTAGATTTTGTCCTAGCCTCAGCACCATATACAAATCTCCTGTTTCTGCATAGCTACCTTTCCAAATACCTAACAAACTGTTTTTCTATCTTTCTGCCTTTCTTGTTCTTCCTACTTAGCATAAAATGAAAAATATTTACAATTTCACTCTCCAGAGATGATAATCACTGTGCTAACGTTTTTTTGATTATATCCTTCCAGATGGATTTTTCTTTTCTTTACTCTTTCTCTCTCAGCCTCTGCTTTTAAAGTGGTTTAAAAATATGTAATTTTCAGTTTTTAATGATTTTGCTAGGATGAAAAATTGGCAGCTACATAGGAAAGTTGCTGAAGCAGAGGCAGGAATCAAAGATTTATCCTTCTCTGATATAAAAACTTAACCGTTTCTTCATGTGTAAGACATATCGCAGCTACTATAATTTCATTTTTTCCATCCTTTTTTTTTTTGTGAGCCAATTTGACTTTATTTATTTATTACATAGCCAGATTGCTGGCCAGTTTTCCTGCTGTTGCAAATAAATGACTTATCTTACACAAGTCTTTGTAAATAAGAATCACTGGAGGGAGGATGGGGTGTAGAACAGGCTCTTCCAGCAGGGATACAAGATGATGGATCACATTCACACCCGCAGTCAGTTAACAGAAAAGAACAAGGAATGTAGAATTCCATTATGTCTCCTGCTCATTTATTTTGAGGACGTGTTTCATTCCATTGAACAGAGTACAGTTCTCACCACTGGGACAGCAAAAATAACACCTCCTTTTATGCTAAAGGTCCATTTATGGAGTACCAGTTAAAAATTGAACATTCTACTGGAGAGAAGCTTCAGTGTGCTTTTTCTTGCTAGTAGTATTGCTGGGGTTGTATTAAATGCAAAAATATTTGTTGCATGTACTAGGAGAAATGAAGAGTTTTTGACTTGGATATAGTTCTGATTCTGGAAAACTGTAGAAAATCCAAATAGAAAGGGTAAAAGTAGAGCTGTAAACTTGCTTGTATGAAACTGATGATGGAAGCGTGTTGACGTTCTTTCCCAGCTGATAGTTATGGCAAAATATGCTAGACAATATTGGAAAAATAGTTAAAATGGAATAATTTGAATTGAGAAAGGGAAAGAAGCAGTCTGTAAGGCATGTGAATGACTAACTTCATTTCAGTTGGGCTCTGTGACCAGAAGATGGGTGCAAAGTTAAATGACCTTCAATGATAGTATTATATCTTTTATGACATGTTACAGTAGAGTATCTGAAAAAGATTGTTAATATGAAGAAAAGAGAATTGAGAAGCCAATAGGATGTGTACACAACATCATCTTCAAGGCTGGCAGTACACACACTTCAGTGAAATGAGGAAGGCGGAACCAAGTATAAAATGTCTTAGTTGTCTGGTTATCACCAAGAGATAGGAGCAAAATACATTGTTGTCATGCAGTTGTTGAAAGAAAGAAACACACACACACATACACACACACTCTCCCCCTGCAGGCTGGACATATGTGAGTTGTGCTCAGTACTAATCTGTCCCTCTGCTAGTTAGTTCTGTGCAGTTATCCCCACAGTCCTCTTCCTAAAATACACATGACTTTCTTGTTCAGGTCTAGAGTTGGTTGCCATTATATACAAATGTAGTTAAAGTTCTGTAGCATGGTGTATATGATATCCATAACACTCAACACTGCTTACCTCTCAAGAGGCACCTTTACCTGTCACCACACAGTCTATATGTTAAACCTCTGTTCCCTAGATACCTTGAGCCTCTTTCCAAATAAACACTTTCATGTCCATTATTTCCCCCTTTCTCTGGAATACTCTAGAGCCTTTCTTTGACAATTCAGTTGTTCTTTTTGGTGCCTCTCCTCAGTGTGACCCTTTTAGAACCTTCATCACAGAAATAGTTGTTCTGTTTTTTCAGCATCTGTGATTCTTTTCCTCCCTGTCGTAGAATACAATGTGTATTTATAGTCATCTCCAAGAACTCATATTGCCTCATGGGGATTGTATCTCAGCATCTAGAATACTGCCTGACACAAAGTAGGTACTTGGCTAAATGTTTTTAAATGTAAATGATTGTCTAAGCATAAGTAAGTACAGGAGAGATTCACATATATTCTTCAATGATTTGCATGTTTAAAGAGAGTAATATAATGCTTAATAGATGGAAAATAATATGAGACTGATCTATACCTGCAAAGAATGAAATGTTCTGAATGTGTTTTTAAAAGAGAGAGGAACGCCAAGACAGTTCACTGGAGAAAAGAATAATCTTTTCAATAAATGGTGCTAGAAAAACTGGATATCCACATGCAAAAAGAGTGAAGTTGAACAGCTACCTCACACCATATGCAAAAATTAACTCAAAATGGATTATAAACAGAAATCTAGAAACTAAAACTATAAAACTTGAGATACAAAATTTTATAACCTTGGATTAGGTAATGGATTTGTATATGTGACACCAAAAGCATGAGCAACAAGAGAAAAAAATAGATATATTTGACTTTATACAAATTAAAAATTTTTGTGCCTCAAAGGACACCGTTAAAAAGTAGAAAGAGGCCTGGGACTGTGGCTCACACCTGTAATCTCAGCACTTTGGGAGACCAAGGCAGGTGGATCATTTGAGGTCTGGAGTTCGAGACCAGCCTAACCACCATGGTGAAACCTTTTCTCTACTAAAAATACCAAAAAAACAAACAAACGAAAAAAAACAGGTGTGGTGGCACATGCCTGTCGTCCCAGCTACTCAGGAGGCTGAGGCAGGGTAATCACTTGAACCCAGAGGTGAAGGTTGCAGTGAACCGAGATTGCCCCACTGCATTCCAGCCTGGGTGACAGAGCGAGACTCCGTCTAAAAACAACAACAACAACAACAACAACAACAGGAAAGAAAATTCACAAAATGGGAGAAAATATGTACAAATAATATGTTTCAGAAAGAACTTGAATCTAGAATATATAAAAACCTTATAACTCAAGAATTAAAAAAAAAATAATTTAAAAGTGGGCCAAGGACCCAAACAGACATTTCTCCAAAGAAGATATACAAATGGCCAATTAGAACATGAAAAGATGCTCAATATCATTAGCCATCAGAGAAATGCAGATCAAAACCACACTGCAATACCTTAACATGCTAGAATTTCTACAGTCAAAAAGACAATAACAAGTATTGGCAAGGTTGTAGGAAAAGTGGAATACACTGTATGTGTTAATGTAAAATAGTACATCGGCTTTGGAAAACAATCTGGCAGTTCTTCAGATGGTTGAATAGAGAGTTGCATATGACCCAACAATTGCACTCCTAGGTATATACCTGAGAAATGAAAATATATGACCACACAAACACTTGTACAAGAATGTTCACAGGAGCATTATTCATAATAGCCCCAAAGTGGAAACAACCCAAATGCCTATCAACCTATGAATAGGTAAATGTAATATAATATCTCACACAATGGACCATAATTCAGCCATAATGAGGGATAAAGAACTGATACATGCTAAACTATGGATAAACCTTGAAAACAGTATGCTAAGTGAAAGAAGCCAGACATAAAAGCCACATATTGTATCATTCCACTTGTATAAAATGTCTGCAATAGGCAAATTCATAGAGACAAATAAATCAGTGGTTGCCAGGAGTTGGGGGGAAGGAGTAATGGGGTATGCTGTTTCTTTGGGGAGATAAAAATGTTCTGGAAGTAGATAGTGGTGGTGGTTACTTAACTGGGACACTAAAACCTACTAAATTGGACACTGTAACAGGATGAATTTTATGTTATATAAAGTAAATCTCAATAAAGCTAGTACAAAAGAAGGGGCGAGGGGAAGACAGTGACACGTCCCAGTTATGAATCGAGAAACAATGGGGCAGCTGGGAAAATGACCCCACTTTGAAGTTATTGGTGGTGGTGATGGTAACTACTATGAATATTGTGCACTGTGCTAAATGGTTTATTTTTATGTCTAGTTTTCACTGTCCCATCTCTACATAATGAGGATGCTGAGGCCCGGGTTGGAACCAGGATTGCAGCCTATGCATTTCTGATTACAGTGACCTCTTTCCCACTATGATGCAATCTCACAGTCTGTGGCAGAACCTTGTCCTGACGGTTTTATTGCTTTCTGGCAGTGTGAGTGTGGGTGTGTGTTGTGCCTACTTATGTATCTCCATTTCTAAAACACCAGCTACTTGTGCATGGTATGGTCTTTATTTATTTACCTTTTTTTAAAAAATTTTTTTGAGACAGAGTCTTGCTCTGTCACCCAGGCTGGAGTGCACTGGCGTGATCTTGGCTCACTGCAACCTCTGCCTCCCAGGTTCAAGCGATTCTCGTGCCTCA